GCGGATGCGGGTCCGGTGTGGGTCGGGTGTGGGTCGGGTGCGGTGCGGACGCGGGTCCGGTGTGGGTCGGGTGCGGGTCGGGTGCGGTGCGGATGCGGGTCCGGTGTGGGTCGGGTGTGGGTCGGGTGCGGTGCGGACGCGGGTCCGGTGTGGGTCGGGTGCGGGTCGGGTGCGGTGCGGACGCGGGTCCGGTGTGGGTCGGGTGTGGGTCGGGTGCGGGTCGGGTGCGGTGCGGACGCGGGTCCGGTGTGGGTCGGGTGCGGGTCGGGTGCGGTGCGGATGCGGGTCCGGTGTGGGTCGGGTGTGGGTCGGGTGCGGTGCGGACGCGGGTCCGGTGTGGGTCGGGTGCGGGTCGGGTGCGGTGCGGATGCGGGTCAGGTGCGGGTCGGACCCTTTTCAGTTAGTAAACACGGTGACGTTTTTGTGTGGGCGGAGCTTAGGTGGAGGCAGAACGATTCCTCTGGCCGCTTCACTAACGCTAGTTAGCAAGTTTTGTTAGCTTGTTTCTTAACAATGATTTTATTCAGTGAATGAATGACTCAGTGAATGAATGACTCAGTGATTGACTCAGTGAATGAATGACTCAGTGAATGAATGACTCAGTGATTGACTCAGTGAATGAATGACTCAGTGAATGAATGACTCAGTGAATGACTCAGACTAACGTTACCTCATGTAGGAGATTAGATGCGCGTCCGGTTCGGGTCGTGGTTTTAATGTCAGACGGGACTAAGATCAGTGTTACTGTCGGGTGTTCTGTTAGTAACTGCGGGTGTTCGGGTTTATCAAACCGGACCCGTGCAGGACTCTGGCACAGGCGCTAAACACACGGTTCTCTTACGGTTCTCCACTTCTCCAGAGACTCGGGCTCGTGGTACCAGCGGATCTGCAGGCAGATCGGGTTCCCCTCCATCTTGGTGAAGTTTGGCGTGGCGGAGGCAACGGTGTAGAAGAACTCGCGCCACAGAAGCTGGCCCTGAAGAGACACGGGCGGCAGCGAGTGGTTCCTCGACTGCGGAGGGAGAACGCCAGAAGCTCAGGGACACATCATGAACATCAGACTCTCTCCGTGTGTCAGAGCTGTAATCGGGTTCTTCTACCGACACAGAACACGTGAACAAGATCCAGCAAAGCCTGAAACTGTTCTGTGGTCGAGCACAGACGACACTGAACACTATTGACCAGAACATGTCAGCGCTGTCTTATAAACACCTCAGGAACTGTGGACACTTGTGGAAGAGTTCAACATGATGAGGAGATGATCAGTGTAACTCCACAACAACTACAGAAATGTCTCCGCTAACATTCAGAAACGTGTAAAAGTGAAGCTCTCCCTGAGTCTCTCCGTAAGGCTGCACTCGCTGCTGTTACTCCTGATTCTGGATCAGTGAGATCGGCCTGTGTTGTTGTTGCAGGAGTCTCTGAAGCTCCGCCCTCTTCTGAACGGAGGTGGAGCTAAAGCTCATTTGCATTTAAAGGGACACACACATAAAAACGGCGTGTTTTTGCTCACACCCAAAAAGGGGCAAATTTGACAAGCTGTAATAAATGATTTTAAGCTGAAATTTCACACACACATTCTGGGGACACATTAGATTAATAATACCTCTGGTGAAGAGAGTCTGACCTGTGCGTAGACGCTGGCGAGTCTGTGGTAGAAGGAGCGCACCGACAGACAGCCGAGGCTCAGGTACGGGCTGAGCGCTGTAGTGCTGGGCAGGAGAGAGTTCGGCACCGTACGCGGCTTGGAGAAGCTCGACACCCATCCCTACACACACACACACACACACACACACACACGCACACTCACGTCACTCCCGAACCAATCAGATTCATGCAATGGTATTTTTCGTTCATGTAAGACTTTGTTTTCTTGTGATGCACATTAGAATTATTTACTGTGAACCTACTATTATAGTATTTATTAATATTTAGAATTAGATTTATTCATTTTGATTTATTGTTTAAGTTAAGTTTCATTTTTTATTAGTTTAGATACATTTCTATACATCTTAAAATGTTTGTACTTTCACTTAAACTTATTTTATTTCAGCAACAACCTAAAGCAACATTTTTAACTTTCAAGTTTTTTTTTAAGTTTTCCATCTAATATTTATATTTTACATTATTTTAGCTTTATTTCAATTACCAAAAGTGATTTTTAATAGTTTTATTTAACAATATCAACTCTTTAAAAAATAAAAATAAAATAACAACTCTGATGCATGGAATTTTAGTACTTTAAACTTATTTTTATCCAGTTAGCTGGCAACATTTCTATTTTTTCTATTTTTTGTTTTTCAACAAATATTAATATTTGACTTTATTTCAGCTTTATTTCAATGATCAGAAACAAATTGTAATTGTGCTTGTATTTTTAGTTAACAATAACAAAACTGACGCACTTATTTAAAATATTTCTATGTAGCTTTGATATTTTTTATTTCAGTTTAGTTTTAGTAATTATAGAACTTATTTTTATTTCAGTCAGTTGCCAAGGAAACATTTCAAATATTCATTTCAGTTTTTCATGTTAAATTTCTATTTGACTTCATTTCAGATTTATTTCAGTTACCAACAATGATTATTAAGAGTTTCAGTATTAGTTAAAGTCCCTGTAAAGGCAATTTGAAAAAAAAATTCTAAACACATTATAAATGTTAGAAATGTATTCATAAAAACATATTACAAAGACTGTGAACTGTGAAGTACTGAATTGTGGAGTTAGACCGTTAAACAGTTTTTCACCATTGCTATTTTCCGGATTTTCTGGGCGGGGCTAAAACAGGGCTCGATGACGCACTGGAGCCCTTGAGCTCCTGGACACGCCCCTACTTGATGACGCACTGAGGCCACTGAGGCTGGCCGCTCCTAACAATATTATAGAGCACATTCACATCAGTTTGTCGCTCATTCGCGAGTTACTGTCAGTACTATTATTAGTAACACAGCCTACAGATTGCTAGCTACTAGCTATGCCTTCGTCACGGAAATGCGTACTTCCTGGATGCGATCACCGGATCACGTACAAAACAGATCGGTGTCCTTGTTTAAATTTCCGAAAAACGATTACATCAAGAAGAAGTGGATTAATTTTGTGAAGAGCCACCTTGATGGAGAGCTGAGGATCACCGCCAAAACCCGCCTCTGTAAGTGATCATTTTACACGGGATGGTTTTATAAACTTTCGTCGGAGATAACTGAGACATTCACTGATAATCCGCTGTTACTGGTGAATGGGGCCGATCCGACTCCCAGCCTTCATCCTCCCGTCGCGCCGACAACTGGTGCCATTCGGCAGTGCGTGCCCACCGTGCGAGCATCCATTCCGGCTGTAGAGTTGAGTGTGGCGAGTCGACGGCAGCTTTCCCGCGAGTGGGCGTGGTTTCAGCGCAGCCAGTGGACACGCCTCCAGCGTTTGAGAGCAGAGATTACTGCTCATTTTTTCAAGATTTTGATAGCTTATTTTATGTACTTGCTGGCTTTTTTTATCATTCAAATTTGGCTGGGTGACTAATAACACATTTTTCTGTGGTGTGACAAACTCAAAACACATACTTAATTTTGACTTTACAGGGACTTTAAAGGGCATATTGCAGGTTAGAGGACCCAACGAGTCAATGTATAGAAAAATAATGTAGGAACTAGATTTTCTTTAAAATATTCTTATAAATACGCTACATAAGCTTCTGGAGTCGTTTTTGTGAGAAAATTTTACTTCCGCGTCTGAAAATGGGTGTGGTGGGCGTGACGTAACGGGCGGGAGAGCGGTCGATTCAAACAACAGGAAAACAATGGATCGCAATGACATTTCGGACGCTGAGGAAATACTTACTTACAATTATGGACTACAGCCATACAATTATGAGCCTGCTATGCTGCCAAGAGAGTAGGGACAGGGCAGGATTAATGTCAGACAGAACGGTCAGAGACACATTGAGTTGTGGTGTGAGGAGAACCAGTGGAGAACAGGACAGGTGTCTTGGTGAGAGACGTGCTTATAGATACACGTTCGCTAACGATATACACTGTGCTCACAATATTGTACAGATTATTACCATCGTATATCAGGCCAGCAGACATTAGTATGTTTAGGGTAGATGTATACTATTAAATGTATAAAAACTATTCTTGAGTATATTTCTATTGTAAGTTACTAAAAACATACTCAAGTACATTTTTAAAACATATTTTTCATCTGGGTTATAACATAAACAGAAAATTAAAGATTTGAATATTTAATCAACCTAGTAATTTTGTTTTTCAATTACAAGTTGCCTCTATTTAGGGCATGACTAGCTATATCACACTATTTGATGCCATTGGTACAGTATACGACGATCAATATTCTTGCTTCGGCATCCCATGTTAAACTCCATCATATCGCCGGGATGATAATCCTCCGATCTGAAGTGAACGCTACACACGATCTGAAGTGAAAGCTACACACGACCGCGTTTCTCGAAGCCGATGCGGAAGAGAAATCCCGTCTCTTCACCTGCACAAACCGCACCAGGCACGAAATATATACAGCAGCACCGTTTTTCTTGTGTGGGAAACCTGTGGACTCGATGTCCTGACAGGCCGGAGTTTTTGCAACCTCCACAAACACAATAATTTACCATGACGATGATAGATTGAAATACAAAAACTACCGAAAACACACTGACTCACGGCCGCTCTCACTGAATGCCAGCCTGCTCTGCACTGAGCCGAGGCTGAGGCTTCCTAGCGTGACGTAAAATGACGCGATGTTGAAAAAAAGCCGTTTTTACGAGCAGTCCAAGAAACGCTCACTTTATCTACTAAATTAGTGCCCTTATGTCGTTTTAAAACATTTTAAATCCTGCATTACCTTTTCATATGGTATTTTCATACAAGGTTATATATTAATTTAGATTTTTTTTTTTACCTACAATATGCTCTTTAAGAATAAAAACAGAAGTTTTCTAATGATTCAGTGAATGATTCAGTGAATGAATGACTCAGTGAATGAATGACTCAGTGAATGAATGATTCAGTGAATGACTCAGTGAATAAATGACTCAGTGAATGAATGACTCAGTGAATGAATGACTCAGTGAAAGAATGACTCAGTGAATGAATGACTCAGTGAATGATTCAGTTAATGAATGACTCAGTGAATGAATGACTCAGTGAATGAATGAGTGAGTGAATGAACCAGTGAATAGGCTTGTTCGACTTGAACTGGCGCTGCACAGAACGATCGGTTTATGACATCAAAGTACAGAGAGAGCAATTGAAAAGCATACGGAGCATCTGCTCTCTATCACTCTCACGGTACTTTGATGCCATTCACCGATCGGTCTGTGCAGCGCCAGTTTAAGTTGAACAAGCCTAATGACTCAGTGAATGACTCAGTGAATCAGTGAATGACTCAGTGAATCAGTGAATGACTCAGTTACCAACATTGATTTTTAAGAGTTTCAGTATTAGTAAAAAAAAAAAACAGCAGTCTTTCTAATGACTTAGTGAATGACTCAGTGAATGACTCAGTGAATAAATGACTCAATGAATGACTCAGACTGTATGAGTAGTCGCACCTGACTCTGGAAGTGTGTGTGGAGTCGCACCTGACTCTGGAAGTGTGTGTGGAGTCGCACCTGACTCTGGAAGTGTGTGTGGTGGAGTCGCACCTGACTCTGGAAGTGTGTGTGGAGTCGCACCTGACTCTGGAAGTGTGTGTGGAGTCGCACCTGACTCTGGAAGTGTGTGTGGAGTCGCACCTGACTCTGGAAGTGTGTGTGTAGTGGCACCTGACTCTGGAAGTGTGTGTGGAGTCGCACCTGACTCTGGAAGTGTGTGTGTAGTGGCACCTGACTCTGGAAGTGTGTGTGTAGTGGCACCTGACTCCGGAAGTGTGTGTGTAGTCGCACCTGACTCCGGAAGTGTGTGTGGAGTCGCACCTGACTCCGGAAGTGTGTGTGGAGTCGCACCTGACTCCGGAAGTGTGTGTGTAGTGGCACCTGACTCTGGAAGTGTGTGTGTAGTGGCACCTGACTCCGGAAGCGTGTGTGTAGTGGCACCTGACTCCGGAAGTGTGTGTGTAGTCGCACCTGACTCTGGAAGTGTGTGTGTAGTCGCACCTGACTCTGGATGTGTGTGTGTGTAGTCGCACCTGACTCTGGAAGTGTGTGTGGAGTCGCACCTGACTCTGGAAGTGTGTGTGGAGTCGCACCTGACTCTGGAAGTGTGTGTGTAGTGGCACCTGACTCTGGAAGTGTGTGTGTAGTGGCACCTGACTCTGGAAGTGTGTGTGGAGTCGCACCTGACTCTGGAAGTGTGTGTGGAGTCGCACCTGACTCTGGAAGTGTGTGTGTAGTGGCACCTGACTCTGGAAGTGTGTGTGTATCGCACCTGACTCTGGAAGTGTGTGTGGAGTCGCACCTGACTCTGGAAGTGTGTGTGGAGTCGCACCTGACTCTGGAAGTGTGTGTGTAGTGGCACCTGACTCTGGAAGTGTGTGTGTAGTGGCACCTGACTCCGGAAGTGTGTGTGTAGTCGCACCTGACTCCGGAAGTGTGTGTGGAGTCGCACCTGACTCCGGAAGTGTGTGTGGAGTCGCACCTGACTCTGGAAGTGTGTGTGGAGTCGCACCTGACTCTGGAAGTGTGTGTGTAGTGGCACCTGACTCTGGAAGTGTGTGTGTAGTGGCACCTGACTCCGGAAGTGTGTGTGTAGTCGCACCTGACTCCGGAAGTGTGTGTGGAGTCGCACCTGACTCCGGAAGTGTGTGTGGAGTCGCACCTGACTCTGGAAGTGTGTGTGGAGTCGCACCTGACTCTGGAAGTGTGTGTGTAGTGGCACCTGACTCTGGAAGTGTGTGTGTAGTGGCACCTGACTCCGGAAGTGTGTGTGTAGTGGCACCTGACTCCGGAAGTGTGTGTGTAGTCGCACCTGACTCTGGAAGTGTGTGTGTAGTCGCACCTGACTCTGGAAGTGTGTGTGTGGAGTCGCACCTGACTCTGGAAGTGTGTGTGTATCGCACCTGACTCTGGAAGTGTGTGTGGAGTCGCACCTGACTCTGGAAGTGTGTGTGGAGTCGCACCTGACTCCGGAAGTGTGTGTGGAGTCGCACCTGACTCCGGAAGTGTGTGTGTAGTCGCACCTGACTCCGGAAGTGTGTGTGGAGTCGCACCTGACTCCGGAAGTGTGTGTGGAGTCGCACCTGACTCTGGAAGTGTGTGTGGAGTCGCACCTGACTCCGGAAGTGTGTGTGGAGTCGCACCTGACTCTGGAAGTGTTTGTGGAGTCGCACCTGACTCCGGAAGTGTGTGTGGAGTCGCACCTGACTCCGGAAGTGTGTGTGTAGTCGCACCTGACTCAGGAAGTGTGTGTGTAGTGGCACCTGACTCTGGAAGTGTGTGTGGAGTCGCACCTGACTCTGGAAGTGTGTGTGGAGTCGCACCTGACTCCGGAAGTGTGTGTGGAGTCGCACCTGACTCTGGAAGTGTGTGTGAAGTCGCACCTGACTCTGGAAGTGTGTGTGTAGTCGCACTTGACTCTGGAAGTGTGTGTAGTCGCACCTGACTCTGGAAGTGTGTGTGTAGTCGCACCTGACTCCGGAAGTGTGTGTGGAGTCGCACCTGACTCCGGAAGTGTGTGTGGAGTCGCACCTGACTCCGGAAGTGTGTGTGGAGTCGCACCTGACTCAGGAAGTGTGTGTGTAGTGGCACCTGACTCTGGAAGTGTGTGTGGAGTCGCACCTGACTCCGGAAGTGTGTGTGGAGTCGCACCTGACTCCGGAAGTGTGTGTGTAGTCGCACCTGACTCCGGAAGTGTGTGTGGAGTCGCACCTGACTCCGGAAGTGTGTGTGGAGTCGCACCTGACTCCGGAAGTGTGTGTGGAGTCGCACCTGACTCAGGAAGTGTGTGTGTAGTGGCACCTGACTCTGGAAGTGTGTGTGGAGTCGCACCTGACTCTGGAAGTGTGTGTGGAGTCGCACCTGACTCCGGAAGTGTGTGTGGAGTCTGACTCCGGAAGTGTGTGTGTAGTCTGTGTGAAGTCGCACCTGACTCTGGAAGTGTGTGTGTAGTCGCACCTGACTCTGGAAGTGTGTGTAGTCGCACCTGACTCTGGAAGTGTGTGTAGTCGCACCTGACTCTGGAAGTGTGTGTGGAGTCGCACCTGACTCTGGAAGTGTGTGTGTAGTCGCACCTGACTCTGGAAGTGTGTGTGGAGTCGCACCTGACTCTGGAAGTGTGTGTGGAGTCGCACCTGACTCTGGACGTGTGTGTGTAGTCGCACCTGACTCTGGAAGTGTGTGTGGAGTCGCACCTGACTCTGGAAGTGTGTGTGTAGTCGCACCTGACTCTGGAAGTGTGTGTGTAGTCGCACCTGACTCTGGAAGTGTGTGTGTAGTCGCACCTGACTCTGGAAGTGTGTGTGGAGTCGCACCTGACTCTGGAAGTGTGTGTTGAGTCGCACCTGACTCTGGAAGTGTGTGTGTAGTCGCACCTGACTCTGGAAGTGTGTGGAGTCGCACCTGACTCTGGAAGTGTGTGTGTAGTCGCACCTGACTCTGGAAGTGTGTGTGGAGTCGCACCTGACTCTGGAAGTGTGTGTGGAGTCGCACCTGACTCTGGAAGTGTGTGTGGAGTCGCACCTGACTCTGGAAGTGTGTGTGGAGTCGCACCTGACTCTGGAAGTGTGTGTGGAGTCGCACCTGACTCTGGAAGTGTGTGTGGAGTCGCACCTGACTCTGGAAGTGTGTGTGGAGTCGCACCTGACTCTGGAAGTGTGTGTGGAGTCGCACCTGACTCTGGAAGTGTGTGTGGAGTCGCACCTGACTCTGGAAGTGTGTGTGGAGTCGCACCTGACTCTGGAAGTGTGTGTGGAGTCGCACCTGACTCTGGAAGTGTGTGTGGAGTCGCACCTGACTCTGGAATTGTGTGTGTAGTCGCACCTGACTCTGGAAGTGTGTGTGGAGTCGCACCTGACTCTGGAAGTGTGTGTGGAGTCGCACCTGACTCTGGAATTGTGTGTGTGGAGTCGCACCTGACTCTGGAAGTGTGTGTGGAGTCGCACCTGACTCTGGAAGTGTGTGTGGAGTCGCACCTGACTCTGGAAGTGTGTGTGGAGTCGCACCTGACTCTGGAAGTGTGTGTGTAGTCGCACCTGACTCTGGAAGTGTGTGTGTAGTCGCACCTGACTCTGGAAGTGTGTGTGTAGTCGCACCTGACTCTGGAAGTGTGTGTGTAGTCGCACCTGACTCTGGAAGTGTGTGTGGAGTCGCACCTGACTCTGGAAGTGTGTGTGGAGTCGCACCTGACTCTGGAAGTGTGTGTGGAGTCGCACCTGACTCTGGAAGTGTGTGTGTAGTCGCACCTGACTCTGGAAGTGTGTGTGGAGTCGCACCTGACTCTGGAAGTGTGTGTGTAGTCGCACCTGACTCTGGAAGTGTGTGTGGAGTCGCACCTGACTCTGGAAGTGTGTGTGGAGTCGCACCTGACTCTGGAAGTGTGTGTGGAGTCGCACCTGACTCTGGAAGTGTGTGTGGAGTCGCACCTGACTCTGGAAGTGTGTGTGTAGTGGCACCTGACTCTGGAAGTGTGTTTGTAGTCGCACCTGACTCTGGAAGTGTGTGACTCTGGAAGTGTGTGTGGAGTCGCACCTGACTCTGGAAGTGTGTGTGTAGTCGCACCTGACTCTGGAAGTGTGTGTGGAGTCGCACCTGACTCTGGAAGTGTGTGTGGAGTCGCACCTGACTCTGGAAGTGTGTGTGTAGTCGCACCTGACTCTGGAAGTGTGTGACTCTGGAAGTGTGTGTGGAGTCGCACCTGACTCTGGAAGTGTGTGTGGAGCCTCTGGAGCGCGTGTGTCTCTCCGCCGGGCCACAGTGTGTCCGACTGAACCTCCAGCCCCAGATCGGCCAGAGACGGGACGCCGTACGCCAGCTCGGGATCCGCAGGGGTCGGGCATCTCCTGCACACACACTCACACACACCGATCACCAACACGTATTACTGTGGTAAATGTAAAACAAACATGGAATTACAATCACAGTGAGTGAGGCCCAAAACATGGCAGTGCCATCATGATAAGTCCAGCAAATGATCGGTCACAGATTCTCCCGTCTGCGATTCACACACACACACTTGGCAGACTGAAGAAGCATCTGCTCGATGAGAGCGTCAGACACACACACACACACACACACGGTCCTTACAGGAAGTCCTCAGCGCTGATGTCCCGGCACGGTTTCTCTGGCTCGCCCAAAACTGACAGAACGTACAGGAACTTCTTGTATGTGAGCGGAGGAGAGCCGCCATTAGCCTGAAGGATCCTGGAGAGGCAGAAACATGCGTTACAGGGACAGGCCACCGGACATCTGAACTAGCCCATGATTTACCCTCCCTCAAGCCATCCTAGGGGTGTATGAGAGTTATATCAATCAGAGTTATATCACAAACTGTCCTGGCTCTTCCAAGCTTTATAATGGCAGTGAATGGCTTTCTGTTCTGAAGTCCATAAAAGTGCATGTGTTCATATTTATGATGGACAGATGCACTTTTATGATGGACAGATGCACTTTTATGATGGACAGATGCACTTTTATGATGGACAGATGCACTTTTATGATGGATAGATGCACTTTTATGATGGACAGATGCACTTTTATGATGAATAGATGCACTTTTATGATGGACAGATGCACTTTTATGATGGATAGATGCACTTTTATGATGGACAGATGCACTTTTATGATGGATAGATGCACTTTTATGATGGACAGATGCACTTTTATGATGGACAGATGCACTTTTATGATGGATAGATGCACTTTTATCATGGACAGATGCACTTTTATGATGGACAGATGCACTTTTATGATGGACAGATGCACTTTTATGATGGATAGATCCACTTTTATGATGGACAGATGCACTTTTATGATGGATAGATGCACTTTTATGATGGAAAGATGCCCTTTTATGATGGATAGATCCAATTTTATGATGGACAGATGCACTTTTATGATGGACAGATGCACTTTTATGATGGAAAGATGCACTTTTATGATGGATAGATCAACTTTTATGGACTTCAGAACAGAAACGGCCATTCACTGCCATTATCAAGCCAGGACATTTATTAATATAACTCTGATTGTATTCGTCTGAAAGAAGAGTGTCATATACACCTAGGATGGCTTGAGGCAGAGTAAATCATGGGCTAATTTTCATTTTTGGGTGAACTATGCCTTTGACGCGCTAATCACGCGGTTCTTCGCTCATGACGCGTCGTCGTGCCGCGCACCTCTGGACGTCGTACAGCGTGTGCGACACACACGTGTGCGTTTGCAGTCCGCGTTCCTCCGCGAGCGCTTGTATGTCCCGCTCCACGCGGGCGTGATACGGCTCCACCTCGGTGTCGTAGCTGATCTGCGTGATGCTCCAGCGGGTCACGAGGTCGCGCAGGACCGTCGCCGTCGAGCCGCGCAGGACGTAGAGCCGCGAGCCTAGCGCACGCAGACGCGCGTCCAGATCCTCCAGGCTCTGCAGGATGAAGCGCCAGCGGGTCGGGGCCACGGGCGTCGTCTCCTCGAGGAGCGCGCGGTCCAGCACGAACACGGGGAACAGCGCGGCGGACGAGGCTAGCGCCCCCTGCAGGCCGGGGTTATCGTGCAGGCGCAGGCCTTTGCGGAACAGGTGGATGGTGCGGTGGCTCATGGCGAACGAGTCTGAAACACAGGCATTCCAACAAGCTCTTTATCATCGGCGCGAGCGCCCAAACATGATATTACTAGGGTAAATGTAAAAAAACATGGAATAATAACCATAATAAGGCCCAACACATGGTATTACCATCAGGATACTGTCCAAAACATAGTATTACCATGGTAAATGTAAAAAAAAACATGGCGTTTCAATAATGATAAGGTCAAAAACATGGTATTACCATCAAAATACGGTCCAAAACATGGTATTACTATGGTATATGTAAAAATACATAGCATTTCCATCATAAGGTTGAAAACAGGGTATTACCATGGTAAAATAAGAAACAAAAGACATGGAATTACATTCACAATAAGGCCCAAAACATAGTATTACCATGGTAAATGTAAAAAACATGGCGTTTCAATAATGTTAAGGTCAAAAACATGGTATTACCATCAAAATACGGTCCAAAACATGGTTTTACCATGGTGAATTAAAAAAAAAAACCATGGCATTACCATGGCCAATGACAAAAAAAATGGCATTAACATCAAGATAAGGTCAAAAACATGGTATTACCATGGTAAAATAAAAAAACATGGAATTACATTCACAATAAGGCCCAAAACATGGTATTACCATGGTAAATGTAAAAAAAAACATGCCATTTACATCATCATAAGTCCCAAAATATGGTATTACCATGGTACATATATAAAAAAAATGGTTTTGTCATAATGATAAGGTTCAAATTAAGGTATTACCATGGTAAATGTTAAAAAGCACGGCATTACCAACATGATAAGTCCCAAAACATTGTATTATTATGGTAATTGACAAAAATCATGGTATTATTTATTACTATGGTGGTGTCCAAAACATTGTTGGCAAATGTCCAAAACATGACAATGGTACATGTGCACCTGCAGTGCATTAATTAAGACATATCTTTTTATCTAACATATATAAATAATAATATATATTTAGGTTATGAATGAAACGGCACCTTTAGCCTCACATTTCACCACGTGACCGAGAGCTAAACATGAACACAGCTATAATTTAATACACACGTTTAGATTAATATGCACTGTATTACTAGAACATTTATACATAGATCAATATTTAAATAATAATGTTTGTCATTTAACTTATTGTTTTACCGATTACTTTTTTATGATCAAAACTATATGCCACCCACCTCCAGGTCGCCTCAGACAACATCCATTACGACACTTCAACCAATTAAACGTTAGAAACACAAACCGTGTGTTTGAATATAATTACCGACAACTAATTAATATTTAATAGCGGATCATAACGTGTAAATATGCGCATTAGCAGAGCCAGAACACAAAACATCGCTTCTCTGACCTGATCCCGCCCTCCTGACTTCCTATTGGACGGCCATATCCATATGATAGTCAAAACGAGCTTCTGATTGGTCACCTCCGTTCAGACTCACATTCATCAGCATGTGATTGGACGTGACGACTGTAACTCAAATGTAAAGCAACCGTCCGGTGCTCTAGTCTAGCCATGAATAAAATGGGAAATTAATCAAACATTAACGTTAGTTTTTTTTTAAACAGTGATATTGAAGTGGTTTGAAGGAGTGAATCGACATCGTGTGAAACACACAGCGCGTGTTTAGTGTGTATTAGGTCAAACTATACCGAATGTAGGTCAAATCTCGCGACCTCTAGTGGACACGGACACAATAAACACAGACAATATACAGCATAATATGATCATAAGGCCGTGTGTCCACCAAAGCGTTTTTACTCGCGCCTGGCGTACGTTTTCAATTGTTTTCAATGGGAGCGCCGCGTTTTTTAAACGCCATGAGCGCAACGAGGCGCTGAGCGTGTATTTAACGCTCAAGCGCTGAGCGTTCGGCGTTTTTTACACGCTGAAGCGCTGAGCGCCCGGCGTTTTTACTGGTCGCCGAGAGTTGAAAAATGTTCAACTTTTGAGTAAAACGCAGCGCTCATCACTGTCACTTTTACCCAGCCGTCCAATCACAGTGGAGGAGGGGCGGGACTAATATCACACCGACCAACTGTCACAACATTCTTTCTGTACAACGACATCAACCAGCAGAGCTAACCTAACAAAATGGATGAAAAATAAATTTTCAGTATGAAACAAATTATCTGCGAAATCAGTTACAAGTAAACTGTGCTGCGGATATTCTGTATCATAGCAACGAAACGTCTCAACGGAAAAAACGCTGTGTTGCCAAAACGCTCTCAAGCGCCCACAGCTAGGCGTTTTCAGCAGAGTCTAGCGTTTTCAGCTGGCTAAAAACGCTTTGGTGGACACACGGCCTAAGGGGTTGTTTGTAAATTGCTTGTCACATCACAATCACTGACTTTAGACATATGATCACTGAATAATGGCATTAGTGTGTGTTAATAATTTTCGTTGAATGAGTCCTGCATCTTCACGTCTCTATTTTCTCGATACGACTATACATAATTATATTTCACAATCGATTATTTAATTCAGTTTATTAAATTAAGCCTACACACAAGCTCGTGTTTATCATAAGCACGGCGCGTTTGGCTGTGGGCGTGGCTGAGCGCAGAGACCCCGCCCCTCCGCTGGACACGTGTTTGATCGCCTCTGACAGGCTCTCTCTCTCTCTCTCTCTCTCTCTCTCTCTGTGTGTGTGTGTGTGTGTGTGCTCGAGTCAGAGATTCAGCATCAACAGACAGAGACAGAGATGAACAGAGAGAAGTGGAGGACTGCACAACAACTACACACTCCATCCGACAGTGAGTAGAAACACACACACACACACACACACACACACACAGATACCACACATTAACCATGGTAAACACATGTTGGTATGTTTCAGAGGTGTTAAGGTGTAATACTGAGCTCATGATGTTTTACCGCCTCAGCCTCAGAAAACTGCCATTTTTATGTTTTTCCATAGGTAAGTTTGTGCTAAAGTATGTAACTTTAGCACAAATGTAAGTGTGTGTAAGTGTGTGCTAAAGACTAAAGACTGAAGACTTAAAGGTTGTAGTCAGTGTTCGTAGGAAGTTTCTGAGCTGAAGTGTGTGTGACGGATGAACTGTCTTCTGTTGTAGAAGTGAGACTTGAAGACTGTGTGTGTCTTGTTTCTCTTTATCACACACACACACACACACACACACACACACACACACACACACACACACACACACACACACACACACACACACACACACACACACACACACACACACACACACACACACACACACACTCCCCCACCCCACACACACACACACACTCTCTCTCTCTTACACACACACACACACACACACACACACACTCTCTCTCTTTCACACACACACACACACACACACACACACACACACACACACACACACACACACACACACACACACACACACACACACACACTCTCTCTCTTTCACACACACACACACACACACACACACACACACACACTCTCTCTCTCTCTCTCTCTCTCTCTTTCACACACACACACACACACACACACACACACACACACACACACACACACACACACACACACACTCTCTCTCTCTCTCTCTCTCTCTCTCTCTCTCTTTCACACACACACACTCTCTTTCTCTCTCTCTCTCTCTTTCACACACACACACACACACACACACACTCTCTCTCTCTCTCTCTCTCTCTCTTTCACACACACACACTCTCTTTCTCTCTCTCTCTCTCTTTCACACACACACACACACACACACACACACACACACACACACACACACTCTCTCTCTCTCTCTCTCTCTCTCTCTCTCTCTCTCTCTCTTTCACACACACACACACACTCTCTCTCTCTCTCTCTCTCTCTCTCTCTTTCACACACACACACACACACACACAAACTTGTTCTGTTTGTTTGGCCTCTTGTATCTTGACTGGAAACAAGAAAATGAAAGCGGTAAATGATTCAGTCCTAATTTCCTGAGAATTTCCCACCAAGTGGAATTAAGTGATAAAGATCCGTGTCACAATCATTGTACAATAACAGTGCGTGTGTGTGTGTGTGTGTGTGTAGCTGATGTCCTGGCGTGTCGATCAGACGTAGATCTCGGAGCCATGAAGAAGATCAGCTCCATGTTCTCGACGCTTCAGGAGAAACTGCACAGATCCAGTGAGTCACACACACACACACACACACACACACACACACACACACACACACACACACACACACACACACACACACACATTACTGATAAACAGGCACACTCTTAAAGTCCACCTGTGGTGGAAGTCCAGCGTTACCAGAGCCGTCTACGGAGAGCCTGGCCACTCCCTGTTAAGTCTATTGTACCGGATCGTGGTTGCAGTTCCACCAGAGCTCCACTGGGGGCGATCGCCGAGTGCGTGAGTGAATGGGAGTCTATGGAGCTAGACGGCTAAATGTGTCTCTCTCACCCGATTGCCGTTGAGAAATCTCAGATTTGATTGTAGGTTTTGCAAGTTCAACATGGGTTATAGGTCGAAAGTTGAATGAACGAGTACGATTTCTTCCAGGTTGAGTTGTTGTTGCCCATAACACGCTAGCATTCTGCTAATGGTCAGTGAAGGACTGATTACGACACCGCTTGATGACATCGTGTTATTTAGTTTTACAGAAACTCTTCTAGCTCGTGTGTTTACCTGTGTCCGCAGAAAGTGCAGAGCGCGAACGCACCAGTGACTGAAGGATTGCCGTAAAGCAGTATCTCTGCTCGTACGATGTGTGTGACGTCATTGACATTTTAAAGGCACAATATGTAGGTTTTTTTCGCCACAAGAGGGCGCAGTTTCCAACAATAACACAGGCGTAGGTTGATGACGCAGTGATGAGCTGAATGATGGGACTTGCTGTCAAGCTGATGGATCTAATAATGTTTATGGATGAGTGCAAACATGTTTTTTAACATTACAGTGGTATGAAGCAGGTCGCGATTGCTAAAGAGACAGATATCACACGCGAGTCCCGCGGATATAAAGGAATAAGGACATTTAATTCTACCGAACTACCCGCGAGTGCTGGATTACTCACACAAGTCAGTTTATTAGACGAATTAAACTTGTGAGGTAACGCAGCGCTGCTTCACTCGGTCTAACGTTACACTATCACACTAAATGCCATTTAAATGTGTGCTGAAAGTTATAATGTTATACTACGTGTTAGTTCGTTTGCTATACGAAACTAGCAGTAAGCTAGATCAACATTAGAATAACATACTGACCATATTCTAACATTTCATCATGTTGAGCTAACGTTATATAGCATTGATTTGTTTTATGTACATTTGCTCACCTGTCTAATAAAGCTGTCGTGACTCGTGAAGCTCTGTCGAGTCCGAGTTAGCCGCGGACGCTAGCTCTCGGCATCTCAAAAACGCCACGCTGATGTTGATCCTCATTTTAGTTCTCCTTGTTTGTCCCAAAGTCTGCTTGCCATGGTCTATGTTTGAACGAAACAAGAACCGCGTGCCGCTAAACGTTACGCACTGCGCAGTTGTCCACGTCTGTCGCTATGGTTACGTCATGGCTATGGCAGTATGAACGGAAACCGAGGAAAGCGCGGATATTGCGTCATTGACAGGCGACATTTTTTTCCGGGACAGCCACTTATTTAAAACTGGAATTTCTCTGAAATAAAAAAATCTTTGGAGACTTTTGGGATATTGTAAGTACACAACTGCAGGAAATATATCACACTGTGCAAGTGATTTTTGGATATTTTATTACAAAATTCTTACATATTGTACCTTTAAAAGACTTTTTAAAGCAAATAAGTGACTAACACCCAACAATATGTAATTTCTTTGCATCTCCTTTCGAATACAACATTCAAATTACTAGACAAAAAATGAAATCCTGAGAAAAGTGTATTTTGAGGGGTATAGCCATAGATATCCATAATAAAGGCTAGATGTCTTACGGCGGAGTCTCTATCGTCATCACCGGCGGCCATCTTGTCACAGGCAAGGCTCTGTGGTGCCTGATGTAAGATGAGTGATCAGCACAAACACAAATACTCTTATCTCGTTGAAATCTTACAATCGGTTTGGTTTCCTACAAACGTTATTAACATGGCTATAATTCTGGATGATTATTTATTGATACACTTATTCATAAGTGTGCAGTGTCATAACTACATCTCTGACGTTTATAACAAACCAAACCGTTTGAAAATCAGTAGAAAATTTAGCAAGTTATGGTTATTTAAAAAGTACATGCACCATTAAAACACAATGTTACGAGTGAGCGAGCTGCCTGTGACAAGATGGCCGCCAGGTGCGGACGTCGACCTCCATCTAGCCTTTATTATGGATATCTATGGGTATATCTCCATAGACCTCCATTCATTCTGCACTCGTCCTGTGAGCGCCCT